GACGACCAACGACGACCAACGACGACCAACGACGACCAACGACGACCAACGACGACCAACGACGACCAACGACGACCAACGACGACCAACGACGACCAACGACGACCAACAACGACCAACGACGACCAACGACGACCAACAACGACCAACAACGACCAACAACGACCAACAACGACCAACAACGACCAACAACGACCAACAACGACCAACAACGACCAACAACGACCAACAACGACCAACAACGACCAACAACGACCAACAACGACCAACGACGACCAACGACGACCAACGTACGACCAACGCGACAACGACGACCACGCACCAACGACGACCAACTCGACCAACGACGACCAACGACGACCAACGACGACCAACGACGACCAACGACGACCAACGACGACCAACGACGACCAACGACGACCAACGACGACCAACGACGACCAACGACGACCAACGACGACCAACGACGACCAACGACGACCAACGACGACCAACAACGACCAACGACGACCAACGACGACCAACAACGACCAACAACGACCAACAACGACCAACAACGACCAACAACGACCAACAACGACCAACAACGACCAACAACGACCAACAACAACCAACAACTGCTAAATTTCGTGGGTCCTGGGGTTTAAGGGCTGAGTATTTTTAAAAAAGAATTTAAGGATTTTTTAGGGATTTAAGGTTTTGAAAAAATGCTACCCAACTTGGAAGCTACCTCAGTATTTGGTAAACACACCCTGTTTTGAAGCCAAAACAGGAAAAAATGCCACAAAAAAGGCAAAAACATGCTCCAAAGCATGAAAAACGGAGTTTTAGTGAACAAAAACCATGAAAGTTGATCTGAAAAATGTGGCACAGACTGCAGGGGGCCAAATCAGCATCCTGTTTTTATCTTGGTTTTATCCCAGATTCTAAAAAATCGCAATATATAGGCCAAAAAATGACTTTTTTGTACTGTTTAAAGCATAGAAAAAAGGTTCCCAACTTGGAAGCTACCTCAGTATTTGGTAAACACACCCTGTTTTGAAGCTAAAACATGAAACAATTCCACAAAAAAAACAAAAACATGCTCACAAGCATGAAACACTGAGTTCTAGTGAACAAAAACCATGAGATTTGATCTGAAAAATGTGGCACAGACTGCAGGGGGCCAAATCAGCATCCTGTTTTTTTATCTTGGTTTTATCCCAGCTTCTAAAAGTTCACAATATATGGGCCAAAAAATGTTTTTTTGTACTGTTTAAAGCATAGAAAAAAAGGTTTCCAACTTGGAAGCTACCTCAGTATTTGGTAAACACACCCTGTTTTGAAGCTAAAACATGAAACAATTCCACAAAAAAATGCAAAAACATGCTAAAAACCATGAAACACGGAGTTTTAGTGAACAAAAAACATGAGATTTGATCTGAAAAATGTTGCGCAGCCTGCAGGGGGCCACATCAGCATCCTGTTTTTATCTTGGTTTTAAAGTTTTACCACACTCTGTTTTGGTACCACAAGTGTTGGTTTTGGTTTGTTTCAAATTGGGCAGCTCGCATTCTATGCCTAAGCTCACGCTTCAGAAACTCAGGTTTGACCTTGCATACCTATAGCCTACATCGTACCATGACCATGACTCCCCACCATCATGAAACACAAAACTCGAAAACATTGGGTATCCGTTTCCGTCCTTAAACCCAAAACAAGTTAAGTGGGATAACACAACACTGTGCAGTGCACAACACACCCAGCCCAGTACATGCACAAATACATAACATGCACGAACATGCCAGTCAACATATATACACACAGGACAAGAACCCTCGGAGTAATACATGCACAAATACACAACATGTGCAGAGATGCCAGCCAACACACATATGTATATATACATATACATATACATAAAGGGAAGAAGCACAGGGCAACAAATGCAACAAACCAATTCTTAGTTGCAATGCATGAAATTCACAATGTTTGCAGCAGATTGCGGAAAGGTCGTTCGCTCCAAGCTCTGGTTGAAATTCTCAGAAAAAGTAATAAAAGTTTCCATGCTCGCTCCAAGCTTTGGTGAAGTAGACACCAACGTCAACATTTGAAGGCTGGTTGGCAAGATCACCTGCCAAGCCGTGCCTACATTCAAAAACCAAAACGACAATGTTGGCAGGCCAATTGGACATGTCACTTGCCTGAAACCCCGGTTGAAATTCTCACTAACCGTCAATCTTGGAAGACCACTTGGCAGTGTCACTCTCTTCAAGCTTTGGTTGAAGCAAACACCAAACATCAAGATGTGAAGACTGGTTGGCAAAGTTTTGGAGGCTCCAAGCTGTGCCTAACTTGAAACTTGAAAACCAAAAGACAATGTTTGCAGACCGCTTGGAATGTCACTTGCTCGAGGCTCTGGTGACTCTGGTGGAAATTCTGAAACAGCCAATGTCTGAAAACCACTTGGCAGTGTCACTCGCTCCAAGCCAAGCTTTGGTGTAAAGTAAACACTCCGAAAGTCACTGTTTGAAGAATGGTTGGCAAGAACACTCGCTCTAAGCTCGGCTCTGCCCGAAGTGGAAACCAAACATACAAGTTTCAAGACCCGTTGGGAGGGTCACTCGCCCCAAGCTCTGGTTGACATGACTACCAAAAGCCAAAGTTTGAACGCTGCTAATCTACAGCCACTCAGCCGCACTCAGTGCCAAATCGTCAGCCTGCCAAGTTTCATCGTATATTGCAAAATAGCGAGAGGCTTTGCGGCTTTCCCATGTGAAATCATTGCAAAGGCATGCTTAATATTTCAGCAGGAATGCGGTCCAAGCTCCAAACCAATGGATACCCATGAAAACAAAAGTTGAGAAAGGTCACAGTTACAGTTCATTGGAAAATTTGCCATTCACTGGCGCCCAGGCCCAGGCTGCCACCAGGCCGCCAGTTATTTGTTTTGCGCGTCCCCTGGCATTGCATCCAAGACAAAGTCGCTGCTCGCTGGTTGAACATTCATTACCGCACATTGGGCTGCGGTTTCACTCCGGAGGTGCGAACGAGGGCCATGGACGAACAGCTTCTTCGCCATCTCGCCAGCGCTGCTGTTGGTGGAGAGAAGCACTGCAAGCGAAAGCGCGCCAAAAGGATCCGATCACTGCACCATGCATGGCCTCAACGTCACAGGATTCAGAAGTTCTCTGAAAGGACAATGACATGGTCAACCGTCAACCCCTCTCTCTCTCTCTCGCTTTCTCTTTCTGTCTGTTTCCCCTTCATTTCACTCTTTTTCCCTGTCCTTCCCTTCTCTCTCTCCCTCCTTCTCTCTCTCTCTCTCTCTCTCTCTCTCCCCCTCCTTCTCTCTCTCCCCCTCCTTCTCTCTCTCCCCCTCCTTCTCTCTCTCTCTCTCTCTCTCTCTCTGTCTCTCTCTCTCTCACACACTCACAAGTTGTAAGCAACACATACGTAAAAATAAAGGAACACACCAAAAAAAACGTACACATATCAAATTAAAGGACCGAAAAAGCAGGAAAGACAAAGGAGATGGTGATGGCGAAGGATCGATGAATAAAAGAATTGTGTGTGAGAAAGTTGTGTGTGAAAGAATTGTGCACGATAAAGGAGATCATGTCTCATGACTCATGACACTGAAAATCACGATGACTCATGAGGTACTTGAGCAAGGCACGTTTCCGGCAAGGCTTCGCTTTGCTCCTGCTGCCAGCTCCACTCCGATGTGGGGGTGACGGTCATGGGTTCCACACAGCGCAGCATATTGCGGGATCCCCATGATGATCAGGTGCTCATCGGGGAGAAGCCACCGTTCTTCCACTGCATCATTCTCTGGTGGACCTGGACGTAGCACCCACAGTTTTCCACCTCGAAGCAGCGCCGGCGCCCAGATGCCGCACACAGGAATCTTGTATGGATACTGACACAGGTTGCACATGGCTGACTCCTCCTTGGCCTTCCATCCAGCTTGCACCTTCGGAAGTCCTTTGTATGTCTTCAGCCACGCAGCTTGGCTTCCTGCCAGGCCGCTACAGCTGCATCAGTGATTTTCAGGAGGAAAGGGGAGGACAGTCAGACAGATGACAGATGACAGATGACAGATGGCATCTGCAGCTGCTGGTCGAAACTCTGCATCAGTCACCTGAGTTACAAGATTCCAAGTCAATCATGTGTTTTCAACCACTCAAAAACTGCACTGAATCCGAGCAGCGCTGCAAAATTACCAGGGCACAACCAAACCCAAGATTTGGATTTCCACGCCTTCCTGCCTTATTCCCTCTACCACTTTTTGTTGGCACT